TTCAAATTTCAGTTTAAAAGGAAGAAATGTACTCTAAAACAGAATCTTTAATGGAAATATTACAGAAGAATTTTGAAAACATTTTATTAATCCACCTCGTACTCCAAGAAAAAATATTTATAAAAATGTTCCTTCAAACTGATGGCTTCTTTTTAAAGAATTCTAAATATTTAACATCAGCATAAACTATTAGATTTATTTTACTCAGCATATTATTTAAGGTAATTTTTCCCTATAGCTTGTGTTTCTTCTGTCAATCTTCATGGGGACGCAGCTTGAGCTTCAATAGCGAACGAATTAGTCGTTAAGAAAGATAGAGAGGTGTGAAAATTCGACAAAAACTAGACAGTTTATTTTCTAAACTGTCTACCTGTTAGCAGATTTAGATTTGGCAGGCAGTTTTGGAATTTTTTTAGCATACAGAGATAGTAGAAGCCACGATAGCTCAAGCCGAGTTGATTTAGCTTTTTAATAAATTTGAGTTGTAGTTAAAACCCTTTTCGCTTAAACTCTGCTCGGAGGGTCACACTACTAGTCAAGTTCAAAGACATCAGTTCGAGGGAAATAAATGAAAATTAAACACAAGCAGGCTAACACTTAGTTAAGTTTAACTTACAAAACCACAATTTGGTAAACCAAGTATAGTGTCAAAAGTATCCAAAGTTTCACATGATAACTCAACTAAGCACGAAATCCAATATGTGTCGAATACCATTCGAAAATGAATAATGCAAGTTTACTGTATTTACACTTATTTACAATGGAAATTGATTTGTTTTCAAATATCCAAATCAATGTGAGTATCCATTCTCTTTTTTAACAAACCGAATCTCTCTTTTCCCTTGCCACTTATCGGATGCAAAAACATAAAAAAGAAAGAAGCAGGTCCTCGCAAAAGGAATGGTAAAAAATTGCTCGAAGCATATTCTATTTTATAAAAGTATTTTAAGATTAGAGAAGAACAGATCATTCTATGATTAGCTTATTTAATTAAGACTAAGCTTACAAGGTAAATCGTTTTATATTCGGGCTAATATGGTAATTCTGTCACACATAATTCAATACTAAATTTTAACACTTTTGTTGCCTACTCGCAACTGGCAAACTGAGTTTATTTGTCAGATACGAGATAAATCGTTATTAATCGCTTTACCTAAACCGTCGAGAACAAGTATTGCCGTACTAAATGCATGCTAATGTTTAGGTGCTTGCCGGACAGGAAGGGACTCAATAATAAGCTCTGCTTAATGAAATGAATCATTTCTTTCTCAAAGCACAAACACAATAACTACATGTTTAGAACGGAAAACTTTTTTTTTCGGGGGAGGGGTAGTCGCTTGAAAAACATTATAAACGGGCTGCTCAAATTCTTGTTCAATGACTCGCTTAAGACTAACGGAAAGAAACGTATCATACATGCAGTGGTTTAGCGTTAATGCGCTGAACAGGAGAGTATTGTTTTCTTTGTTCCGAGTTACCTCGTATTTGGCCGAAGAGAGAAATTCCATATGCTAACTACGAGTATACTCGTGTGAATTCACTACAGCTAAAAATAATCTGTTGTAGCTATATTTAAATAATTAAGTAACAGAAAATAATTTAAAAGCATAAAAATGCAGATATCATCTCTGGCGCGTGTGAACGGTAATCTGAATAACATGAAAGGAGAAAATTCACGCACAGAAACAAGGAAGCAACAGTCCATTCTTTTCTTTTACTCCGAATGTGCCCACACACAATCAAGGCTATCGCAAATACCGGAAGAGTTTCGACACTCCAGTAAAAAATTTCGACGAAGAAAGGACAAAGGAAGTGCAAGTTTCGAGAAATATAAACAGTACGTCCGGACACACAAGCAAACCATGAATGCAATCTGACCTAAAAAAGTTATCGTTCTCCCAAATTTCCTGTTGGCCAAGCATGGTAGACGCTGATTAGAATTTCATACACAAACGCGTACAATCAACAACAAACAACATTTGAGATCTTTACGCTAACAAAGACAGAAATAGCAAGACTTCGATGAATTACATACGCAATGGTACAGGTATTAGAACTTTTTCTGAGGTATTATGATTTGGAAGTACAGAACAAAATCAATACAGTTCTTGATCTTTTCTTTTTACTTCCTTGTACGAAGTAAAAAGGACGTATTGTAATCGCGAAAAGTTTCAGGCAGCATATTTCAACGAAAATATCCATTTTGACCGCTATCGAATGCAATTTAACTATGTTTGCGTGATATCTGGACGTAAAGACAGAATAAAAGACTCTTTTCCACCAAAAAAATTATAAAACTGCTTTAAAATGAATTCTGAAGAGAATTTTTCGTGGCGTCTGTACGAACGTATACGAACGTTCGTGCGTACGTACGTATCTCGCATAACTCAAAAACGAGTAGCCTCAGAACGTTGAAATTTTGTATATAGGACTGCTATAACATGTAGATGGTGCACCTCGTATTTTGGTTGCAATCGGCCGCACGAAACGTATATAAATATATTTATATATATATCCACTCTGTTACCCGGCTATGTGATCTCAGTTTCTTTGCTCTTATATGTTGTAATTGTACATTTTTTGCTTTAAAAATGATTGAATTATGTTATTTTATCTTCCGGTTAAAGTTTTTTATGCCTTCGTAATTCTGGAAGCAAAATTTGCACATTATCAAAATTTAAAAGCTGTTTAAGTGCGGTTAAGTTTAAATAACATGGGGACATATTTGTTTACATTTGAAACAGCAGAATTGTAGATTTGTTGCCAATCTAGAGAGAGACTAAGCTTCGCAACACAAAATAAACGCCTTCATTTATTATTGCGAATTAAATCATGCTTAATCTTTTCTGGAATTTTTCGAGGAATAAGTGTTTAAGATTTAACTTCGTATTTTTAATAAAGATATTTTGAGTTTATGTATTTTTGCCTTGTCGCGAAGCGAAAACTGAATTAATTGAATGAGAAATATTCCATCGTCTGTGAAAAACTGTTTCTTTTTTTGTTTTGTTTGCTTAATTTCTTTTATATATCGTTCTAGCTTTGTTAGAGTATTTGAATAGAACATGTGGCAACGATTAGATAATTCTTTAAATGATATAAATTTTGTGCATTCTGAGTTATAATAGGAACGAAATATAATACTGTTAAGTAAACCTAGCGCCAGAGTGTCGCTATCGTAAACAAAGTGAATGTTAAAGAATGCATATGTTCTAGTGTGGTTTATTCGCTGTCGGCGAAGTAGGTTTAATTCAATCTAATAAGTTTAAATGAAATGCAAGAAAAATGCGTATCATTTAATATTCCGTACAAGGAAGTCGTGGTGTACACATCAGATTTTTTAAAATTATTTCACTATTACTGACATTTTGGAAGAGTGCATGATTACAAAAATCAGCATAGTTAAAATCATAGATAAAAAATAATTACGTTTATTAAAATTGATATAAAATTTCAGTAGTACGTGAAAAATACAACAATTGCGAGCTACTGATTTGACCAATGACGGCTGATTTAATTTTGCTTAACATACTGGTTTTTTTTTTTTTTTTTTTTTTTTTTTTTTTAAATCCTAAGCGTACATCCTTCTCAAGGACTCTCTTATGGAATTGTGTGATATAAGCGAAGATACAGACTCAACCAGAATCACGCTATTTATAAGCAAATGCCAAGACATGTGTCAAAAATATAAAGCAATAGCTAAACATAAACAATTATTCAACCCTTATATCTGGTACTGATATTTATACGTAAGGGAAAATTTAAGAAACAGCTATATTCTCTATCATTGAGGCAGATTTTAGCATGTATAACTTAGCTGGCACTCGAAACATTTTCTTATAAAACGTCAAAGAAAACATCAAAGAGCACAGAATTACGAATTATTAATAAAAACACTTTCCGAGGTGTTGCAGATTCAGTTGGGAATCTATACTCTACAAATTCAATAGTACACAATGAACTATTACTGAGAAGCAGTCCGAAAATTCAAATACGTAAAACTGCACAAGGAAATGTACATACAGTTACCTCATTTCTAATTCATTTGTGGTTTAAGCTCAACTACATACTTTTAAGGACATCATAAAGCTTTTTCTATGAAAAATATTTCATTCCTATTTCTTGCTAGCACGCGAAACTGTGATAACGTTTATTTTTAAATATAAATATCTTGTGTGAAAATTTGCTCTACTCTAGGATGCAAGGTAATCTCTTGGAATATATTTAATGCACTAATGAGTAAATATTCTACACCCTACAGATCAGCAGTTAATTATCAGCAACGAAACTATTATAGCAAATGAAGGCGTGTGCAGCCACACGGCTTATGAATCTTCGGGTAAAAATCAACTAAATAATTTAGGACAACCACATTTTTAATTCAATTTTCTCACTTTTATTACAGGGGAGGGGGTTAATCGCTGAGGACTAATACAGGACTGATATGGGCAGGAAGTTTTCCCTGTTTTGGATGTTCAAAGATTATGATTTTTGGACTGGGGCAAGCATACTAGCGTTTTCAGTTTAAGAGGAGGGACATCTTCGTAGAGAACTTTCTAAACAAAAGTACTTCGTTTTCACTTTACATTTGGGGATATAATTATGAAATCGCCCATGCAGCCAGGCCGTTCACCGGAATCTGAACCCGGGACAAAATACCAGTGTCTCTCCCTGGAAGGCTTCTGGATAATGTTGATGAAACCATCGAAAGTGAAAGCTGATTGACTGCAAAATTTACAGTCTGTAACTTTGAAAGGAAAGGGGATAAATGATAAATAAGCAATAAAGAAGTTAATCTGCACAGTTAGTTGCCCCTCAAAATAAGTGCGATAAGTCCTTCAGATTACTTTGTCATTCTACAACCTCTTACCCTCAAATACAAATAGGAAGCCCACTTACACAGGCATCGTTATATTGGTATTACCACCAGAGGACAAGACCTAAGATCTCCAAACAGTCGAAACAGTGAGGCTCAGTGGAATGGAAGTAAATATTGTACTTACTGTCCTAGAGCAGCACCATTCCAGCATTGTCCTTCTTCGCGAACGGCCCAGGATTCATCACTACAGACAATGTCAGCTAGATTGGCATAATGTCCTTTTGTTTCGGTCAACCTCTGAACCACTTGTTGAAGGCGGGAATAGAGACTTTCCTCTGTCGATCGCACAGGAACGATGCGGCCCGGTACAGAGCCAGATGGAAGAGCATTCGGCTCTGTTACATCTCTGGTAGCACGTCGAGGATGGCCACAAGCAGCTTTCACCTAGAATAAATTACAAATGTTAAAAATAAACTATTTTGTACCAAACATTTGATGCAAAACTATTTAAAAGGAAGTAAAAGATATAGGCTTCGTGAGAGTGGATGTCCACAATTAGACTGAGGTTACAATGTAGGGGAAGTTCAAGCTAGAAAGGTCTAACAAACAGTGAAATAAATAGTCATATCAAATAGATACAGAAGCTCATGAACAATTTTTCAAGAATAATTCTGAAGAAATTTTAAGATTTATGACAAGAAAAATTTCTTTCCAGTCACACAGATTTCTGAAAAACAGTATTAAGATATTTAAGGAAGTACCGCAAACTTTAGAGATAGTTGAATGCTTGGTGTCATCAACTAGGCACTTTTGCCTACAGTTAGTTTATATATATATAATTAAAGAAAGGAGAACAAACTAAAAAAGACCTTTGTGGTCAAGAACGTTGCGCATTGAACTGCAAAATTTAGAAGACAAGTTAAAAGAAAATTCTTAGTGCATATGCTAAAAAGTAGCTTAGATACTGTGGTTCCGGTCCGTTAGGGAAATGGAACAGAGAATTGAGACAAAAGTTTCTGACTAAGTTTTTTTCAGTTAATAATCAAAAAGAGTTTCGTATACAGTTTCAATATTCTGTTTCGACGAAACGCGATATGGGATTAGCTGGATTCAAAAATCATTATAAAATTTCTCCTGAAGAGTCAGTAATGAGATTCGAATTGGGCTAATCTACCATTTACCGCTTTTTTGTTTTTGTATTTTTGATTACGTCTTATGTCACACTTTTATTCTATTGTTTAAAATCTGCCTTACCTTGATCAACATATTACTTACAATTAGATTTGAATTTTATTTGTAAATTTCTAGCGATAATATTGCTTATTAATTTACACTTTTCATTGCCTTTATTTTATTATGTTAAAATTTGTCACCGGAACCACAGTATCTAAGCTACTCTTAGCGTAAGCTAATAATTTTCTATATATATATCTATAGATATTATATATATATATATATACAATGATTTATCAGTGTATAGCTGTTAACAACACGGCGAATAGAACTGCAAGAAAAGTTTGCAACATATTATACGAAAATTTTAATTAACTTATCTTTTGCGAAGTGATAAATCCAAGTACCATGAATACACTGCTTCTTTATTCTTAAATGCCGAAATGCAGCTGGTGCAGCGTACACAGAAAAATTTTGAAATTTTAAGAATCTGATGCATCATTTCTGAATTACCATTAATATGCTACACATGTGGCAGATGATTTATTACGAGTATTGAACAAACGCTATACCCGTTAGAAATAGTGTTTTTTAAGTGAGAATTTCTATATAGAACAGCCTACGTATTCACAAGCCAGAGATGAAAAAAATATTTTACAAAAGTCTTTGCATTCATTTAAGGCTGGAATGAATGGCTTTATATATAGTCGACAGTATATTCGTTAAAATTGACCTTGTTTAAACATGTTCTGAAAGAGATACCAGAGAAATGGGAAAAATTAAAAGGATTCAAAACATCAGCAGGCATGAAACATTCAAAATCTGCGCGTGAACACGGTTTTAAAGTACACTGGAACCGTACAGATTAACCATACAACAACAATGCTCGAAACGGAACTTGCCAAAAAATTTCTTAGTTAAAATTTCATCAACCCGTGAAGCGGGTAAACACTCTTGAAATGAATGCCCTCATCAGAGGCGTGACACGTGCGCCAGAACCGACACTTGTCACCAATTATTTGGATGTCAACCTCTTGACCTCAGTTGTCAGCAGAACATCGTTTAGCACAACATATGCCATCCATACCCCCCCTTTTTTTTTCCCTTGAACAGAGAAGTGTGCGCTCTTGACCAGAAGCTGAGAAGCACTTCCAAATGTCAACAGAATTGTAGTTATGAGCTTTCCATGAAGCGGGAAGCGATTGACATAAAAGAGTGAATGAATGAGGACACTACGCTGATAACTTCGCATTTTCCCAGTCGTGACATTCAGTAAATCATGAGATCGTGATATGTCGCTCAATTTTTTAGTTTAAATGCACTTTTAGTTTACGAATCACTATTTTCTTTCAAATCTAAGCGGAGAAACCAGACTGGCATATTTTAAAAATGATTTGCTTACGAATTCGAGAAGCACAGACTTCACCTTATAAGTAAACGATAATAATATTTTTAAAAAAATCCAGAATCCTATCTATAATTCTGCTTAAAATAAGTAGGGCTGCTCTGTTGAATGTGTTGGTAGACGAAAACGGTTGGAACTCAACATTTTAATATACTTGTTTCCCAAAATATCACTTACAAAAGCAAACATTTTGACAGATTAAAAAAAAAAAAAAAAAAAAAATTTGGTTTAAAGTTTCGAAACTGTTTTTCTAATTGGTTCGAGAGTAATTTGTCAGCCTTATCCCAAGAAGTCTCATATTATTTAATGAGGTTTTTTAAAAATCTATGGCTACAAATGATGCATATACAATATATGTATACCATTTGTATCAAATTGTATAATTATAATTACCATTTTATTTATTATTTTAATTTATACCAAATGGTATATTTGTAACATACATCATTTGTATTGGGTTGGAGGGAAAGTTCTGTCGTATTTTAAAGAAAATATTTGAATTCATTATAAAATATGTGTTTAATATTAATCAATTATATGCTCCGTATTTTGTTACAACCTGTTGCCATCTTTCAGGTAACATGTAAATTCCTGTTTAGTAGAAGTTGTCGGCCTTGGAGTTAAAATAGTCAGCAACTGTCCTTAGAAAAACTTTTAAAAGACTTGAAGTTTTTTCCTGTTAGATAATCTTGCAGACATCTGAACAGGTAATAATCAGCTGGTGCACAATATCAGGTGAATATGGTGGGTGACTAAGGACTTCCCATCCTAACGTATTCATTTTGTAGTGTCACCACTGCAGTTGCGGGCGAGCATTATCGATGGAACACTATTCCTTTGCTGGAAGCTAATGCTGGCCTTTTTTCTTTGATAGCTGCATTCAATTTATCCAGCTGATTGCAGTACAGATCTGCGTTGAATGGTTTTTCCTGTTTCAGCAACTCGTAGTACACAGGACCTTTCCTGTCCCACCACAAACAAAGCAGTACTTTTCGTTGATGGATACTTGGTTTGGAACTGTTGCTGATGATGTTCCTGGTTTGCAGTAAGATTTTTTTCTTTTAATATTCTCGTAAAGAATCCACTTTTCATCTCCAGTTAACCAGCCTGTCCAAAAACGGCTCCACGTTGTGTCTAATCAGATGTGATGAACATATTCTTACACGATCAGACAAATTCTTTTCCGCTAATTCATGTGGAACCCAAACACTTTGCTTTAACAAACCCAAGAGATTTAATGTGATCTCCAACAGTTGTATGATGAATGCCAACTCTTCTGCAATTTCTTCGACTTGTTAATATGGATTATTTTCCAACATGGATCGCAAAACATCATTATCGATCTTGGAGGTCGTCCAGATCGAAACACTTTCTTTGAGGCTCAGGTCCCGGATGAAATTTTCTAAACCGTCTTTGACAAGTACAAACTTTACAATATCTTTTCCAAATACCGCACATAAATTTTACATGCAACAAATGTGTTGCTTCCTTTTGGAATCATATAAAATGCAGTGTGTCGTAAAGCACTTTATCTACCGACATGTTTTTTCCTTTAAAATTACAAGTAAATGATGAACGGTAAAAAAGGGCACCTTTTATATTATACAGCAGCTAAAAAAACAAAAAAAAATCCGATTGACTCACTAGCCAGATGTTTTTTTTTTTATTTACAAGAAAAAATCACTTGCCTATTTAAAATACGACTAATTTGTATTTTGCAATGTAATTAAATTCAATATATACCATTTGTAATTTTCATATTATATATCACATAATATTTTATAACGAGGGTCTTTATTCAAATATAAGTAACATCAATTTATTTTTGTAAGTGACATAAATTCTAGCAAAATTAAATACATAAAATTTACACAGTAAAATAATTACAATTTAGACAAATCTGATAAAAATTTTTACGATCATTAACTAACTGCCTTGCTTTTTCTGTTCGAATAATAGATTTTAATTAATTAAGTTTCTTCGAAACTTCAAAGAAATGGAAGCAAATTCAATTAAAAAAAAAAAAAGACTGAGGAATTGATCAAGCTGTAAATTATAATGACAATTGACAATCTGAATACCGCGGCGGTGCATCTATCCTGCCAAATTTGATTACAACTTCTTATTAGATTCATGACTGGCGGATGATTACAGAGAGAGAAAAAAAAAGAAGAGGAGAGAACGAAGGAGAGGTGAATAAACTTCAACTCCCCTACATAAGTCAAAATCTTGATTTCCAACTTCAGTTCAGTTTCTTTCACTTAGAGAAAAGCGATAATATTTATTTATTCATAAAAATACACACTAATTTTCAATTCGTAAAGATAATGACTTTAAAATGTTATGAAGAATCAGTTTATATTTTACCTACAATACTTTTAATTTGCACTTTTTCTCAGTCACTGAGCACGTTAAAAATTAGGATTGTGTTTCCCTTCAGCATAGCCGACTGTTAATCACACCGCTGAATTTATTTGTAAATTCTTAAGACTTAAAAGACTCGTCAAAGTTTGAAGTTAAATGTTATTGCCTTTTTGTCCGCATGAATCTAAAAATATGATTTCTATCTCAGTAACTCACGAAATTTTAGTTTGCTTTGGTTTAGTTTATTATGGCAAAGCACCTGGGCTATCTGCCTAAGGGAAGGAATGGCATAGAGGTGGATTTTCAATGGGAAACTGGCTCGTATACATGTTCCCCAGCGGAAAACAACGAAAACGCCCATACAGCCAGCCCGTTCCCCTGAAAATGATATCAGTAGCGCCAAATAATTAGAATCTACAAAGTGGTTACGATAATCCAAACTCTCTCAAGTCTAACATCAGGTACCATGTGTTAAACTAATGCTGGCATTATGACAATTTTG